CTTTATACCAATTCCAAAACTTCTCACAAATTCTCATCATAAAAACTCTCACATCATGGCGCCCAACGTGGGGCCCGAGACTTTTGATTCATAATCAGAAAAGTAAGACTCATCAAGTTGAGAAACCTATGAAGAAAGGTGTGCAGAACAATATTGCTGTGGGTGTGTTTGTTGTCGGTTAGCAGGATTAGGTACACACACACCCACACACAGAATGGATGAGGATTATAGGGATAAGTACATAGGTCTGTATGTGACTAGGTATAGCGTGCTGCCAAAGGATAGAAACATTCGCACAGATGAGGAATGTCGGCAGTATGTTGAGGACATAAGGCCTATGTACGCCGTCTATGTCTAGAAAGAGCAAACAGAAGTGATCTAGGGGACACGGGAGTTCCCCTAGCCGACCGTGGTATAGTCGGTAAGTCAGGGGGTGTGGGATTGAGTCCACCCCAGGAGAAGGAAGGATAGTCGCGACCCCAGCCTAGGCTAAGGACTGATTCCTTGGGCCACAGAAACGTTTCGTTAGAAGTAGTCAATCAGATACCAGAACGACCTCTCAGGAGGGGGACTGAATAACCCCAGGAGGAAATTACTTTAGAGTACCTAGCAGCTCAAGCTGATGCTATGGAATTGCAAGGAGTGGATAAGGCCAAATTTGTGGCCGACATGTGGAATGCCCACCACGAGAGATTGACTAGATTGGAAACTGCAAGAGTGCAATCCCAGGCAAGACGGGGAGTCAAACCCCTCCTGCCGCGCCAAGCTCAGAGGTACAGGCGCTGGAAGTAGAGGTACCTCCTCTATTGCCAAGAGAGGAGAAGATCGATCCTAGGGATGCATACCTAGATCGATGTGTGACAGTAAGCTTCATGGTTGTTAGTGTAAACTGCTGCCCCAGCAGAACCTCTTTCTTGATCAACTGGTCCCTCTGTGAAGATGTGAGTCATTGTAGGTCTTGAGATGGTTTCCATTTGTTGTTCTGTGACTGCTTTGAGCCTCTGCGAGTCACATGCTGATTTTTTAACTGGTAATCCTTCAATGATTATCTTTAGACTCGATTCTTCCCATGGAGGAGGCTGTATAAAGTGTTGATATGGTCTATCTTCTTTGTTTTTAATGGTCCATTTCAAGTCCACTTTCTTGACCAGAAAGAATCTTGACCAGATTATCCGTCCATACACTTGTTCTATATTGAAGGTTTCTCTGACGCGATCTGTGTATGCTATCTTTGATTGACAGTCTGGCGGTGGTTCCAACAAGTTTTGTTGTTATGGTGGCTATCCTTTGTTTGATCCTGTTTTTTAAGGCTGGTAAGTTGGTTTTCATTGTTACATTCTCTCAACGCGTCCATATAGGTGCTCCCAGCATTGTTCTCAGAGCATCATTTTGAGACACTTCCAGTTTCTCCCATTGGTTATCACTGAGGGATGTAAGAGCAGGAGCAGCATAGTCAATGAGTGACCTAACTGCTTGAACGTAGTACATTTTGAGTGCTGGTAGAGATAGACTAAGACTTGTCAGGGAGCGCAAAGCTGAGTTTCTGGCTTTACAACGTTGCCGAAGATATTCAATTTCTTGAGTGAATTTCAATTGGCTGTCTATTATGACTCCTAGGTATTTAAAAGAGGTAACCCACTCAATTTCATGCCCTTGTATTGTGAGATTCTCCATGCTCTGCCAAAGCTTATATTCGCTACTTTGATAATTACTTACTTACTTGGGGAGAGGTGGTACAGGACGTGATTGAGATGAACAAGTGGATGAATAGATATTAATTGGCCATTAAATCCCTATGTTCTTGCTTCTACTGTCTCTGGAGCCTGAAAGCTGAACCATGCTTTCACGATAAAGATATGATTCGAAATCAGATACACAAAGCAGAAAATGAGATCAATGATAGCAAAGCGAAACTACTTCATGCTACAGACCAATAGAGACACACCAACATCGACGAAGACCTCCGTACCCGAATGGACCAAAACCTCGACGATCTGCAAGATCGTCGAGGTTTTGCAGATCGTTTCCCATCACTCACACACCACACACACACACACACACACACACACACATTTTTCATTCACTCACACACACGATGTTCATTTTTCCTGTACCACGAAAATGACATCGCAAGCAAGGCAAAGACTCAGCCTAAATTGTTGCATAGCCACATTAGGAGAAAAAACAACAGTAAAGGAACAGGTTATGAGATTAAGGATAGGGGCGGAAGGATTCACTACAAATAACAAGGAAGTGTGTGAGGAATTGAAAAAGTAATTCCAGGAGGTCTTCACCTTAGAACAAGGAGAAATTCCAGAGGTAAGTGAGGGAATAGCTAACCAGGAACCACTGGAAGAGTTTGAGATTACCAGTGGGGAAGTAAGGAAGTGTTTACTAGAGTTGGACGTGACGAAGGCTATAGGCCCAGATGGAATCTCCCCTTGGGTTCTAAAGGAAGGAGCAAGAGAACTGAGCCTACCACTCTCCATAGTGTATAAAAATCACTGGCAACAGGGGAACTGCCAGATATTTGGAAAGCAGCTAACGTAGTCGATCCGATATACAAGAAAGGGGATAGACAGGAGGCACTGAACTACAGGCCAGTGTCCCTAACCTGCATACCATGCAAGCTGATGGAGAAGATTGTGCGAAAAAAACTAGTGGAGCATCTGGAGCGAAGGAACTTTGTAACACAGCATCAACATGGGTTCAGGGATGGCAGGTCCTGCCTCACAGGGTTACTTGAATTCTACGACCAGGCAACAAAAATAAGGCAAGAAAGAGAAGGGTGGGCAGACTGCATATTTTTGGATTGTCAGAAAGCCTTTGATACAGTGCCACACAAGAGGCTAGTGCGAAAGTTGGAGATGCAGGCTGGAGTGAGAGGGAAGGTACTCCGGTGGATAGAGGAATACCTAAGCAACAGGAGACAACGAGTCTGTGTGAGGGGTGAGGTCTCAGATTGGCGAGACGTCACAAGTGGAGTCCCGCAGGGGTCAGTCCTTGGACCTATACTGTTTCTGGTATATGTAAATGATCTCCCAGAGGGTATAGATTCGTTCCTCTCAATGTTTGCCGACGATGCAAAAATTATGAGGAGGATTGAAACAGAGGATGATAGTAGGAGACTACAAGATGACCTGGATAGACTGAGTGAATGGTCCAACAAATGGCTGTTGAAGTTCAACCCGAGTAAATGCATAGTAATGAAACTAGGCAGTGGAAACAGGAGGCCAGGCACAGGATACAGAATAGGAGATGAAGTACTTAATGAAACAGACAGAGAGAAAGATCTAGGAGTTGATATCACACCAAACCTGTCTCCTGAAGCCCACATAAAGAGAATAACGTCTGCGGCATATGCGAGGCTGGCTAACATCAGAACGGCGTTCAGGAACCTGTGTAAGGAATCATTCAGAATCTTGTACACCACATATGTAAGACCAATCCTGGAGTATGCGGCCCCAGCATGGAGCCCGTACCTTGTCAAGCACAAGACGAAGCTGGAAAAAGTCCAAAGGTATGCTACTAGACTAGTCCCAGAACTAAGAGGCATGAGTTATGAGGAAAGGCTACGGGAAATGCACCTCACGACACTGGAAGACAGAAGAGTAAGGGGGGACATGATCACAACCTACAAAATCCTCAGGGGAATCGACCGGGTAAACAAGGATGAACTTTTCAACACTGGTGGGACGCGAACAAGGGGACACAGGTGGAAGCTGAGTACCCAAATGAGCCACAGAGACGTTAGAAAGAACTTTTTCAGTGTCAGAGTAGTTAGCAAATGGAATGCATTAGGAAGTGATGTGGTGGAGGCTGACTCCATTCACAGTTTCAAATGTAGATATGATAGAGCCCAATAGGCTCAGGAATCTGTACACCAGTTGATTGACGGTTGAGAGGCGGGACCAAAGAGCCAGAGCTCAACCCCCGCAAGCACAATTAGGTGAGTACAATTAGGTGAGTACACACAACACACACACACACACACACACACACACACACATACATATGCTAGGGGGAATGATACCTGAGTGGACAGCGCTCTGGACTCGTAATCCTAGAGTCCGAGTTCGATCCCCGGTGATGGCAGAAACAAAATGGGCAGAGTTTTTTACGGGCTGCTTCCTGTGTGTGTGCTTGCGTGTGTGTACTCACCTATTTGTGCTTGCGGGGGTTGAGCTTTGGCTCTTTGGTCTCGCCTCTCAACTGTCAATCAACTGGTGTTCAGATTGATTGACAGTGTGTGCGTGTGTGTGTGGGGGGGGGAGAAATAGAAGTAACAGTTAATTGATTGATAGTTGAGAGGCGGACCGAAAGAGCAGAGATCAACCCCCACAAGCACAACTAGGTGAATAAACTCTCAGTAAGCAACCCGTGTCAGCTGTCTAACTCCCAGGTACCTATTTACTTCTAGGTGAACATGAGATTCAGGCTGAAAGAAACTGTGCCCATTTGTTTCTGACTCGGCCGGGAATCGAACCTGGGTACGACCCCCGACCGATGTCAACTCAGCCGCGAGGCCCCTTGTGTGTGTGTGTGTGTATGTGTTTGGGCGCCTTGAATGGACCAACAGGCCGTCTACAGTAGTCTATTATGTTACCTATATTAGTGGGAAGGAATATGGGGACAAGGAGATGGGATAGGAGGAAGAGATGAAGGAACAGTGCCTAACTACCTGCACCATTGGGTGGTTGAACCTCTTGATTCTTATGACAGTACTTACGAGGTCATTTTGGAGCTTTTGAAACACCACCCTTTAATCCAACAATAGGTTTGTTCTGTACAATTAATTAAATACCATTTACTTAATACTTCTCATATTCAGTACAGTTTTGTAAAAAGATTTAGTTAAAATTATGTTTCACTATTCTACATACATGACATATTTTTAACATTGAATTTGAACTTGAATCTTCAGGAGAACTTTCACGAGCTGTGAACTAGATAAGAATAATTTTGTAATGACAAGACGTAACTAGACACACAACACTCACTAGAGTTCCTCATGTACAGCACAAGATGTCCGAAATCTGATAAGTTGTCAAACTTCACCAAGTCCCCATAGATGGACCGGCAGAACTGTCTCGCTTCTGGCCACGGCACCTGTGATGGAGAGGACACCATTGACATGGACACCTGTGGTGGTGGTGAGGGAGTGGACACTAGTAACCTGGACACCTGTGGTGGTGGTGAGGGAGTGGACACTAGTAACCTGGACACCTGTGGTGGTGAGGGAGTGGACACTATACGGACGTGGACACTACTGACCTGGACATCTGTGCTGGTGGGGGGGGGGGGGGCAGGAAGTGGACTGTAATGACTGGGACACTTGTGGTGGTGGTCATTAGATCAAACAGCCTCCTTCGCACGCTTCTCACATTCCACGTGAGAAATTTAAGAGTGACATGCTCTTCAAATTCCGCATTTCTGAATGGTATAACACATACTGCTTTACTACCGTCAACGCATTATATGAGGACCTGGTCACTAAAGTAACCGGTTTTTATGACAATGTTGTAAAATCCACAAGACCCAAACCAGTGAGGAAGGGACAGAGGTGGTTCACTGACTCACGCCTTAAGCCCCTGCATGACAGAGTTCTATTCCTAGCTGAGCAGTATAAAACACATAAAACAGCTGACACCCTCAACATATTTCTTAAAGCCAGCCGAGAGTTTAGAGAGCTAAAGGAACAGGTGTATAACCAGCACTGGAAACAGTTTTTGCAAGGCATCAATCATGCAACATCCTCATCCCAAATGTGGAATAAAATTAAAAAGATTTCCCGTCCTAGCAGTCGTCAACTTGATCACCATTCACCTGTAGACTATGCCGACATGCTGCTTCAGCAATATGCAAGCACTGCTAGTATAAGCAGCCTGCCCCTAGATGTGCAAAAACTATCTGGCTAGTACCAAAATAAATCGTAACTTCAATATTGAAATTGCCTGTAGTGAAATAGGGCCTGATGATAACTATGGCATTACCCCCTTTGAAATTAAAAATGCACTCAAGAAAGGTAAGGCTACCTCTCCTGGAGAGGATGGCATCACATACAACACCATGAGAGTACTTGCTGAGCTGCCAAATACCCCTTTGCTAGAATTGTTTAATCAGAGTCTAAGGCAGGGTGTTTTACCTGACCGCTGGACTCAGGGACTCATAATACCCATACCCAAGCCTAATTCACAAAAAATTTAGACCCATTTCTCTGACGTCGTGCATGTGTAAAGTTCTTGAGAGAATTATTCTCGACAGACTAATGTTTCAAATCAAGCCCCACCTTGCCCCTAACCTGTATGGTTTCCTTCCTGGAAGAAGCACACAAACTTGCTCTGCTGAGTATTTTATCAGAGAGGGGCCAAACTCTCAGGCGGCATTTATTGATCTCCAAACTGCTTTTGATACAGCAAACAGATAAATAATCCTAGAACAGCTAGCCTCTTTTGGAGTTAAGGGAAGACTGTTGACATGGCTCATGGGTTACCTGAGTAACAGAACCGCCTCAGTCCTTTTCAAGGGGGTCAAAAGTAAACTCTGTGCACCCTTTGAGTTGGGTACACCCAGGGTGGAGTGCTAAGTCCTACACTGTTCAATGTTCTAATTGAAATTAATTAAGATTGATTATGAAATTAAGAATCATAAATTAACAATTGATATTCCCACACTACCTGACGAAGCCGTCATTTGTTATGCCGATGATATATGCATTGTTGCAAATTCCCAAACTAGACTGCAAGCTCTACTTGATTCATTCGCTGCTAAAAGCATTGAATGCGGTCTTGTTATCTCTATAACTAAATCCAGAGTTCTCCATCCCCGAGAGAATACTTATGTCCCTATAACTTTCAAGGTCAACAGCCAGAACATTGAAACGTGTGGGCAGCACCAAATACCTTGGAGTTTGTATTAATAGTGACATTGTTAATGATCTACTCCGTAGGTTAAAAAGAAAGACTAAAACCATTGAAAACACTTACTGGTAAGAATATTGGTATCAATATTAATATATGCTAGACTATTCTATATGATGTTCGTTAGATCTCTCGTTGATTATAATGCTCTGCACCTAATTAATTTCCCCTCCTCTGTGTTGGAGAAACTTGGAGTAGTACAGAATGAGGCCATGAGGATAATTCTTGGTGCCCCAAGATGCACAAGAATCATCAACATGCGGGAAGAACTGAAGCTTCCAACAATACTAGAGAGAATAATGCAAGTCAACACCACCTTTTGCCTTAAAGTCATGAGAGATCCTACATCTCCTGCATTGCTCAGAGACAAATTATTTAGTGCTGCTTTAACACCCTTTTGACTGGTGCCGACATACCAACTAACTCCTTTTCTGATAATTGGCTGAGCAACAATGCTTACAATCTCATTAAACTTAACATTCCCTTTAAATGCAATCTACCTGTCTCTGATATTCCTCTTTATCTGTACCCCACCATTCAAGTATCATACATACCTGTCACAAGAAAGATAATGAGAATCTGCTCTTCTCAAAGCGGTCACTCTTGAAACAATTGCCTCCTCCATCGAGAGTTTAAGATCTCACGAGCACTGTGTCTACACCGACGGCTCAGTCCAATCCTCTACTGGACGGACTGCAGCGGCATGTAGGTTTTATAGAAATAATATTTGCACAAAGACTGTCAGTGTCAGGTTTAACAACTGGCTGACCTCCACACAAGCAGAACTAGCAGCATTACACCTAGCTACCAGTACATCAAAAAACATTGGAGGAGGAATAATATTCTGTGATTCAAAGTCTGCTCTTCAAGCAATCGAAAACTTCTCTTGGAAGACCGACAGCAAGAACTTCATACTCCCAATTATAAATGACCTAATTGATGCACAGAGTAAAGGGTCTCGAATTTCCTTTGTATGGATACATTCACACATAAATATAAACCATCATAATGAGACAGACATTGCAGCCAAATTAGCGTGTATCAAGTTTGAAATTGAATTAGATCTAGGTATCCCCATCTCTGCTGTCAAAACTGTATTGGTCCAAACATTCAGATCTGATAGGAAAAAACTTACTGACTCCCAACGACCTGAAAGTACTAGTATAAAAAGCTATGATTTGTTCAGATCTGAAACCTACATCTATAAACAGCACAAAACGTGCACTAGACTGTGCGACGCAGTGGTTGCAAGGATCAGGTTGGGTTACCGTTACCTGTGGCAGGTGGCTGCAGGTGACGGATCTCCCAATCCTGAGCACTCCAGTTGCAAACTCTGTGAGCAGGAACTACAGCACGATCTCCCGCACTACATCACTAAATGCCCAGTTATTAGACCTTTCAGACCAGTTAGCATGAGGTACCTGGAGCTTAGCAATTACTTTATTCACTCTCGTATTCTTGAAGATATCTTCACAGTATACCCGAATTTGCCAGTGCTGGCTATTAAAACACATGGCTCTGTATGACTAACCATCCTGCGAGATGGGGACTTGTATTACCACTGCTACCTTATTCAATCTTGTGTTGTTGATATCCTCAAAATGCATCCAGAGTCTGCCAGTGCAGACCGCTTATCACATGCCTCTGTATGACTAACCATCCTGTGTGATGGGGATTTTTTTTAGCATCACCTTGTTAGTTTTTTTTTTTGACACATCGTACTCCACTTCATATAGTCTAGGGTAGCTGCACTAATGCAGATCTTCATAGAATTGCGAATATTACTAGATATATTTTATACACTAATTCATAAAGCTTTAAATACTGTTTTAATACAGAGAAGCAAATAGCTATGTAAACTCCATTAAGTTAAATATATTGCTTTAGTTATCAATTATAATTAAAAAGGCTGAGAGCGGGTCATCTCCAGCCCTAAACACCAGAGATAAGTGACCTTTGACTGACCTTGGCCGGGGAGAAGAGGGCCAGGCAGAGCTGGCCGACCCGGGTGTACAACATCGGACAGTCCCGCTTCTGGTTCTTCAGCGAGGTGTTGACGGACGTCGTCAGCACTGCCACAATCCCACTGGCTGGGGCAGGAAGGTTCTGTTATGGTGGTCATGGTGGAGGGCCCCATGTTGCTGGGGGCAGGAAGGTTGTGTTATGGTGGTCATGGTGGAGGGCCCCATGTTGCTGGGGGCAGGAAGGTTGTGTTATGGTGGTCATGGTGGAGGGCCCCATGTTGCTGGGGGCAGGAAGGTTGTGTTATGGTGGTCATGGTGGAGGGCCCCATGTTGCTGGGGGCAGGAAGGTTGTGTTATGGTGGTCATGGGGGAGGGCCCCATGTTGCTGGGGCAGGAAGGTTGTGTTATGGTGGTCATGGTGGAGGGCCCCATGTTGCTGGGGCAGGAAGGTTGTGTTATGGTGGTCATGGGGGAGGGCCCCATGTTGCTGGGGGCAGGAAGGTTGTGTTATGGTGGTCATGGTGGAGGGGCCCCATGTTGCTGGGGGACAGGAAGGTTGTGTTATGGTGGTCATGGGGGAGGGCCCCATGTTGCTGGGGACAGGAAGGTTGTGTTATGGTGGTCATGGGGGAGGGCCCCATGTTGCTGGGGGCAGGAAGGTTGTGTTATGGTGGTCATGGTGGAGGGCCCCATGTTGCTGGGGGCAGGAAGGTTGTGTTATGGTGGTCATGGGGGAGGGCCCCATGTTGCTGGGGGCAGGAAGGTTGTGTTATGGTGGTCATGGTGGAGGGCCCCATGTTGCTGGGGGCAGGAAGGTTGTGTTATGGTGGTCATGGTGGAGGGCCCCATGTTGCTGGGGGCAGGAAGGTTGTGTTATGGTGGTCATGGTGGAGGGCCCCATGTTGCTGGGGGCAGGAAGGTTGTGTTATGGTGGTCATGGGGGAGGGCCCCATGTTGCTGGGGGCAGGAAGGTTGTGTTATGGTGGTCATGGGGGAGGGCCCCATGTTGCTGGGGACAGGAAGGTTGTGTTATGGTGGTCATGGTGGAGGGCCCCATGTTGCTGGGGGCAGGAAGGTTGTGTTATGGTGGTCATGGGGGAGGGCCCCATGTTGCTGGGGGCAGGAAGGTTGTGTTATGGTGGTCATGGTGGAGGGCCCATGTTGCTGGGGACAGGAAGGTTGTGTTATGGTGGTCATGGGGGAGGGCCCATGTTGCTGGGGGCAGGAAGGTTGTGTTATGGTGGTCATGGTGGAGGGCCCCATGTTGCTGGGGGCAGGAAGGTTGTGTTATGGTGGTCATGGTGGAGGGCCCATGTTGCTGGGGGGCAGGAAGGTTGTGTTATGGTGGTCATGGTGGAGGGCCCCATGTTGCTGGGGGCAGGAAGGTTGTGTTATGGTGGTCATGGTGGAGGGCCCCATGTTGCTGGGGGCAGGAAGGTTGTGTTATGGTGGTCATGGTGGAGGGCCCCATGTTGCTGGGGGCAGGAAGGTTGTGTTATGGTGGTCATGGTGGAGGGCCCCATGTTGCTGGGGACAGGAAGGTTGTGTTATGGTGGTCATGGTGGAGGGCCCCATGTTGCTGGGGGCAGGAAGGTTGTGTTATGGTGGTCATGGTGGAGGGCCCCATGTTGCTGGGGGCAGGAAGGTTGTGTTATGGTGGTCATGGTGGAGGGCCCCATGTTGCTGGGGGCAGGAAGGTTGTGTTATGGTGGTCATGGTGGAGGGCCCCATGTTGCTGGGGACAGGAAGGTTGTGTTATGGTGGTCATGGTGGAGGGCCCATGTTGCTGGGGGCAGGAAGGTTGTGTTATGGTGGTCATGGTGGAGGGCCCATGTTGCTGGGGACAGGAAGGTTGTGTTATGGTGGTCATGGTGGAGGGCCCATGTTGCTGGGGGCAGGAAGGTTGTGTTATGGTGGTCATGGTGGAGGGCCCCATGTTGCTGGGGGGCAGGAAGGTTGTGTTATGGTGGTCATGGTGGAGGGCCCCATGTTGCTTGGGGGGCAGGAAGGTTGTGTTATGGTGGTCATGGTGGAGGGCCCATGTTGCTGGGGGCAGGAAGGTTGTGTTATGGTGGTCATGGTGGAGGGCCCCATGTTGCTGGGGGCAGGAAGGTTGTGTTATGGTGGTCATGGTGGAGGGCCCCATGTTGCTGGGGGCAGGAAGGTTGTGTTATGGTGGTCATGGTGGAGGGCCCCATGTTGCTGGGGGCAGGAAGGTTGTGTTATGGTGGTCATGGTGGAGGGCCCATGTTGCTGGGGGGCAGGAAGGTTGTTATGGTGGTCATGGTGGAGGGCCCCATGTTGCTGGGGGCAGGAAGGTTGTGTTATGGTGGTCATGGTGGAGGGCCCCATGTTGCTGGGGGCAGGAAGGTTGTGTTATGGTGGTCATGGGGGAGGGCCCATGTTGCTGGGGGCAGGAAGGTTGTGTTATGGTGGTCATGGTGGAGGGCCCCATGTTGCTGGGGACAGGAAGGTTGTGTTATGGTGGTCATGGGGGAGGGCCCCATGTTGCTGGGGCAGGAAGGTTGTGTTATGGTGGTCACGGGGGAGGGGCCCATGTTGCTGGGGACTGGAAGGTTGTGTTATGGTGGTCATGGTGGAGGGCCCCATGTTGCTGGGGACAGGAAGGTTGTGTTATGGTGGTCATGGTGGAGGGCCCCATGTTGCTGGGGACAGGAAGGTTGTGTTATGGTGGTCATGGTGGAGGGCCCCATGTTGCTGGGGGCAGGAAGGTTGTGTTATGGTGGTCATGGTGGAGGCCCCATGTTGCTGGGGACAGGAAGGTTGTGTTATGGTGGTCATGGTGGAGGGCCCCATGTTGCTTGTGGCAGGAATCTTGTGTTATGGTGGTCATGGTGGAGGGCCCCATGTTGCTGGGGGCAGGAAGGTTGTGTTATGGTGGTCATGGTGGAAGGCCCCATGTTGCTGGGGACAGGAAGGTTGTGTTATGGTGGTCACGGTGGAGGGCCCATGTTGCTGGGGGCAGGAAGGTTGTGTTATGGTAGTCATGGTGGAGGGGCCCATGTTGCTGGGGACAGGAAAGGTTGTGTTATGGTGGTCATGGTGGAGGGCCCATGTTGCTGGATGGGGGCAGGAAGGTTGTGTTATGGTGGTCATGGTGGAGGGCCCCATGTTGCTGGGGGGGCAGGAAGGTTGTGTTATGGTGGTCATGGTGGAGGGCCCCATGTTGCTGGGGCAGGAAGGTTGTGTTATGGTGGTCATGGTGGAGGGCCCCATGTTGCTGGGGGCAGGAAGGTTGTGTTATGGTGGTCATGGTGGAGGGCCCCATGTTGCTGGGGGCAGGAAGGTTGTGTTATGGTGGTCATGGTGGAGGGCCCCATGTTGCTGGGGGCAGGAAGGTTGTGTTATGGTGGTCATGGTGGAGGGCCCCATGTTGCTGGGGGCAGGAAGGTTGTGTTATGGTGGTCATGGTGGAGGGGCCCATGTTGCTGGGGGCAGGAAGGTTGTGTTATGGTGGTCACGGTGGAGGGCCCCATGTTGCTGGGGGCAGGAAGGTTGTGTTATGGTGGTCATGGTGGAGGGCCCCATGTTGCTGGGGGCAGGAAGGTTGTGTTATGGTGGTCACGGTGGAGGGCCCCATGTTGCTGGGGGCAGGAAGGTTGTGTTATGGTGGTCATGGTGGAGGGCCCCATGTTGCTGGGGGCAGGAAGGTTGTGTTATGGTGGTCATGGAGGAAGGCCCCATGTTGCTGGGGGCAGGAAGGTTGTGTTATGGTGGTCATGGTGGAGGGCCCCATGTTGCTGGGGGCAGGAAGGTTGTGTTATGGTGGTCATGGTGGAGGGCCCCATGTTGCTGGGGCAGGAAGGTTGTGTTATGGTGGTCATGGTGGAGGGCCCCATGTTGCTGGGGGGCAGGAAGGTTGTGTTATGGTGGTCATGGGGGAGGGCCCCATGTTGCTGGGGGCAGGAAGGTTGTGTTATGGTGGTCATGGTGGAGGGTCCCATGTTGTTGGGGGGCAGGAAGGTTGTGTTATGGTGGTCATGGGGGAGGGCCCCATGTTGCTAGGGGGGCAGGAAGGTTGTGTTATGGTGGTCAGGAAGGTTGTGTTGGTGGGAGGGCCCCATGTTGCTGGGGGCAGGAAGGTTGTGTTATGGTGGTCATGGGGGAGGGCCCATGTTGCTGTGGGGGGCAGGAAGGTTGTGTTATGGTGGTCATGGTGGAGGGCCCCATGTTGCTGGGGGCAGGAAGGTTGTGTTATGGTGGTCATGGTGGAGGGCCCCATGTTGCTGGGGGCAGGAAGGTTGTGTTATGGTGGTCATGGGGGAGGGCCCCATGTTGCTGGGGGCAGGAAGGTTGTGTTATGGTGGTCATGGTGGAGGGCCCCATGTTGCTGGGGACAGGAAGGTTGTGTTATGGTGGTCATGGGGGAGGGCCCCATGTTGCTGGGGGCAGGAAGGTTGTGTTATGGTGGTCATGGTGGAGGGCTCATATTGCTGGGGCAGGAAGGTTGTGTTATGGTGGTCATGGGGGAGAGCTCCATGTTGCTGGGGGGCAGGAAGGTTGTGTTATGGTGGTCATGGGGGAGGCCCCATGTTGCTGGGGGCAGGAAGGTTGTGTTATGGTGGTCATGGGGAAGGGCAGTAGAGTGACTTACGCCATAGACGATGCGTTCCTCCTGCCAGCTGGTGTAAACAAGCGCATCGCTGGCAGTTGGAGCGCATCGTTTACGGCGTATGGAGGTGGGTAAGGGTTGCGGGGGTTAAGCTCCACCCTGGAGTGTGATAGGTGTAGTTAACTATTTTAAAGGTGATGGGGGAGAGAGGAAGAGTTTTTCTGTATATAGTAAGAGACCGAGATATGAATAGCTAAGACATTGAAAATTAAAATAAAACGTAGAGAGTATAAACGAGGGAGAAAAAGATATGGTACCAGATAATTAGCTTATGGGAGGAAAGAGAATGTTAAAAGGGAAGAAGAACCTAAATCAAATATTAAACACAACATACACAGAGGAGAAACAATGTTTGAATTACTTGAAGAAAAACTTTAACTGAAAGGATAGGGTGAGGATATTATATTTAACAAATATAGCCAGCACGTGCATGCATAATCACCTCATCTTAAATAATACTACTTGAATATATATAAATACCTCTCTTAATCAA